ACACACACACAGATACAGATTCTGTTGCCCAGGCTAGAGTGCAGTGGCACCATCTCAGCTCACTGCAACCTCCAACCTCCCAAGTTCAGTCAATTCTTGTGCCTCAACCTCCCAAGTATCTCAGACTACAGGCGCGCACCACCACCACGTACAGCTAAGTTTTGTATTTTTAGTAGAGACAGGGTTTCGTCATGTTGGTCAGGCTGGTCTCGAACTCCTAACCTCAAGTGACTGGCACGCCTCAGCCTCCCTAAGTGTTGGGATTACAGGCATGAGCCACTGCACCTGGCCATGATAACATATTTTCGATTCCTTAACATTTTCTCTAGCTAACTTTTTACAGTATATAATACATATAACATACAAAGTGGGTGTTAAATGTCTTATTGGTAAGGTTTCCACAGTAGGCTATCAATCAAGTTTTTGGGGAAACAGTTTATACACAGATTCAATTGAGGGAAGCCGGGGCCCCTAGTCCCTGCATTATTAAAGGGCCAACTGTATACATAATCCAGTTTTGTTTCATTGGTTTTCTCAATCTGCACGAATGTAACAACTACAAAAGACCTTAGGAGACTGAACTACTGAGAACCAATCATTTGACTTGCTACACAGTCCCATACGGGATTATGGTTGGTACACAGAATAGGTCTAGATAAATCCTAACAGACCTACACATACAAAACTTAACTGTACACTTACCATGTTCCAAGCCCAGTGCTGGAAATTAGGAAACTCATTAATGAGCAAGTATTTCTAGAGTACATTTTGAACTGGTATGGAACAGTTCAGACTTATAGAAACAGAGTAGGTATGAATGAAAACGAGATTCTATGCTGAACTAGTAAAACACATGCACAAAAAAGTCCAGTGGCAGAAGTAAAAGAAAAGGTAGCCAAGCAGAGCTGAAACAGTACAAATGCAGGTTAAATACGCTGGGCTGTTGATCTCCAAGTTGCTGTCGAACTTCTGGCACTCACATGTTTATCACACATTCCCAGTTCCTTCTTTTCGGCTTTAAATTTAAAACATGTAAGAAACTGGCTGGGCGTGGTGGCTCACGCTTATAATCCCAGCACTTTGAGAGGCTGAGGTGGGAAGATCACAGGAGGTCAGGAGTTCGAGACCAGCCTGGCCAAAGTGGTGAAACCCCATCTCTACTAAAAATACAAAAATCAGCTGGGCTCAGTGGCGCACGCCTGTAATCCCAACTACTTGGGAGGCTTGAACCCGGGAGGCAGCGGCTGCAGTGAGCCGAGATCATGCCACTGCACTGCAGCCTGGGCAACAGAGCAAGACTCTACCTCAAAAATAAAAATAAATAAAACATGTAAGAAACTAAAAAGCAATGCTTTTATTTTATGCAATATTTTATCCTGAGCTTCAAAATAATAAAACTCAATTTGTTCTAGGATCCACAAAACTTAAAACCCCCAATTTCCCATACAAAAATTAAACAACCAGACTGACTTATTTCCCGTCAGCAATCTATTATTTCTAAATACCCCATTTATTCTTTTATTCAGACTGTTGAGGATGATGTGGTCAGGCCTCAATATGCCCACTGTAAGTCAAAAATATCGTAAGTCGAAGATGCGTTTAATATAAAGTCTTAAGTCAAACCATTATAAGTCAGGGACTGTCTGTACTAAGATTTTAGTGAATAGCTTAATTTTTGTAAACTGGAAAACCTGACAATATGAGGTCAAAAGGAAGAAACACAAGATACAAAGCACACTGTATTTTTGAAAATGTAATACATCAATCGAAATTCCTTATGAATAAACACTTATCCTTGAGTAAAATAATATCATATACCAACAAGGATGTTTCCATTTATGTAAAGTCATGTAAGTGATCCTCAATCAGTCCAAGAACTTTTTTATCCAGGTTATATTTTAATATCTGGAGTTTTAATCCAGCATACAAAAATCAGCAGTATACATCTATTAAGTTAATTGCAGTATTATTTCACCATCACCATTTACATTTACTTTTCAGGTATCAGAGACTTAGTGCTTTAAGTAGCAAATTACCTAAATTATGAACACTATTTCCAAAAACAAAATTGAGCTCATAATTACCAAGTGTATACGTACAGTGCAGAAGATTAAAAAAAAAAAAAACTGAATTGGCATATATTTCTCTTTTCTAAAGCTCCTATGAAGAACTTACGCTCTTCTGCACTATCAATCTATTCTGTACATTTAAAATAACATTTGTTTTGATTTAAAGTCAAAAATATAAAGGCTTAAATTTTTATAAGACTAACCCATGAAAAAGGACGCAAATTTTAAACCAATCCCTGAAACCAAAGCATTCAACTATTTGAGTATTAGTTCAATGTTTCTACATAGCACGATAAGATGTTCACAGTTACTCAAAGTTTTGTCTTTATTTTTAATAATGGGAATGGCCTACAATTACAATAAACAGTTAATTCAGTTATCTTAGGGGCCTTACCATATATATCATTAACCTATTCACACAACAAAAATATTTCTATGAAAGTTAATATATCCTTTCATGTTTAAGTGTGCCAAAACAGAAATAGAGGTAGAATCCCATTTTTCTTAAGTACCACTCTATTAGCCAATTCCACACAATTAAAGTATTTTTGCAACCTAAAATAGTGATGCTAATACTGCTTCAGTAAGCTAGATTTGCTAATTTAAGAATCCTAAGAAATTATATATGTGGCTTTCAGACATCCATGTTAAACTATCAACTAATCAATTTGTGGAATATGTGGAACACTTACCATATTTGAGTGACCATAAAGCAAACAACGCTAAAATTTTTTCTAATCAGTGTTCTTTGTTAAGTGACTATATGATACTTCACCATTTCTAACAGGAAAAAAAATGAGACTTACTTGGCAGTCTGCATGGGCTGCTGGAAACTAGTGTAAAGACAAATCTTCAAGTGTCTCAAAAATGTTTGTAGATAACTCAGAATAGTAACTCAGAATATAATCTATTGGGAACTATGGAATTCCATTTTAGTCTTCAAATAATAAACTCCACTTAGCAGGGATTGTGAGATTGCTCTTGAAATTATGGATTTACAGAACACAGTGGCCTCAGCACAAAATAGCTCACTCTAGACATCACTACTCTCCACTCTTCAAAAAAAAGTATATATATTCATTTAAAAAAAAAACACCCAAAATATCACCAGTACATTTTATAAAATTAAATCCAAATTTTATTAAGGATTTCAAGTTACATACTTCAAATTTCTAGAATGGAATGGAATCATTTTGGAACTGGAAAAATGGCATAAACACTGACATCCCTTAAGAAAATTCTTCTGCAAACCACATCCCCATTATGTAACAAGACTAGGTATTATCTACACCTTCACTTTGGCAATAGCTATTTCCTAAAGAATGAAAAAGATGATTTTGCTACTTCAGTTCATTAAAAATGGGATTCTATCTTTAAAGTTCAGAAAAAGCTGCATTTCGATGAACTATAGGTTAAAAAAAAAAAAAAGCACATAGTGTCTAATCAAAGCAAAGGAAATCATTTTGAAAATAAAGAGAAAAAAGCTATTACAATTGGTTAAGGATTTCCAGTAGTAAGTTAAAATCTCAGGAGAGGAATGGATAGCACTACAAACAATGTGTTCACATTCCAAGACCTTAACACTAACATCTCAAAAAGGAAGTTTTCACTACCTCTAAAAATGAATTCAATGTAATTTTATTAAGAGCAGGAAATCTAGACCTTCCTCTAATGACAATCCAATAATCCACCCTCGCTGTCATCAAAAGTTCAACCCCCAAATTAACAGTAATTAGCCTGAGGTATTATAAATGTGGCTCTACAGTCTGAAATTTAATGGCATCTTTTGTCAAAAATAGTCTTATTTCCACTTTAAGTCTCATGACAATACTATAGTGCTATCCCTGTAGTATTTACTACAATACAGTCATCAAAAATATCTGAAAAAAAATCTTGGACCTTGTGAAATAGTGCATCCATCCACTTCTATAAAAATAGGAGCCACGCAAAGATCTAAAAGAGTGCTGACTGCCCAGATCCAGAACAGAGGTACTTAACCTTTGTTTTCCAGTTTAGTTATCAAAGCGTGGTGTGAACAAAATGCTGAGTGTCACACTGGCGTTACAAATAGGCCCAAAATTTTGAGCTTTTAACAAGATAGAGAAACATTATATGAGATTTAACTCAATATGCCTTAACACATCCATGAGGTAGTTAGGTAAACAGTACTACCCATTTTAATACACAGTAAACAGAAGCATGGGTTTAAGTGACATATTCATACTTTAAGCAGTAAGAATTAGAAGAAACCACAGAAGCTTGGGGCCTTCTCTCTAGCTCTAACCCAAAGAAAATGAATTAAAAAAAAAAAAAGCATCAAATCACTGATTTTCTTTTTTCTCTTTTTACACTTGCTTATTAGTATAGTATCTCATGCCAAAGCTGTTACCCTTTTCTTCAATAATGTGGTAAAAACTGAGTATAACCCTTAATTCAAGGAAGGTCTCTGCTTCTACCTGAATTGGTACAAAATTAAGACATTATCTTGTAAGAACTAAAATTGTATTTGAAATTTTTATTTTAGGCTGCAAAAACAGAAACAAGCAAACAAACAACAAATAACTTGAAAATAGGCTTGTCAAATGATGTAAATTCATCCTTTCCAGGGAAGCAGAAGGTAGACCCTACCACAAAGAAAAGATGCTTAGTTAATAGAGGTTAAATTTAAAAGTACAGGTAAATTCAGGCTAACTTCTGAAAATCCCGTTTTATTCACCTCACTGTGGTACCAGTAACTACACTGAGTCAGGTTACTTTACAGTTAACTATGTCACCTAAAACACAATAATCCACTAACAATCTAATACAGTTATTGGGTGTGGTCATACTGGAAATTCTTAACCATATCGTTGTCTTGCCAATTTTTTTTTTAACAATACATTATCTTAGTATAAGTCACTGCATTTCTGTAACAAAGTAATGAAAGGCACAGCTAATCCAAGCGGACTTAACCCTATTCAACAACCAGCTGAAAAAATACTTTGGTTCTTCAAGGAAAAAATCATGGAAAAAAAAAAAAAAGGTATTTCCTTTAACAGTTGTTAATTTTCATAGCTGTACTCCAAGAGCTACATAAAAATATTCCAGAAGAACCAAATTATGTAGCAATGAATGAACATGCGTGACAGAATTTATGCATTCAACATATCTGGCAGAAAAACTAGCTAAAATGCTAGGTAGAACAAATTGGTCTTTAAAATATCAGTTTCCTGTCCTTTAAAAAAAAATTACCTAGTCTACCAAGAAAATACAAAAACATAAGGCTGTAAGTAAATAAGAGTTGTGTTTAGGCTATTACAGTGCAGGTTATCCTCAAGGCCACATACATCCTGCTTCACTGCTGCTTGCACTCTGCTGGGTTTTGATCCTTCTGTTAAAGGAAAACAAGAAGTCAATCTATCTTCTTCTACCTGCTTCAGTGAATTTCTCAATAGTAATTACTGCCTTAATTATAACAGTAGCTCACTGTTGTCAAAAGAAATGGTATAGGACAATGATGGTAAATTATTTTATTAGCAAGTCACTGAAATGCTAAAATCAAGCTCAAACTTTACACCGTAGAATTCCATAAAATGACACACACTAAACCATAATCTTAAAAAATAAAGTTACCAAGCAATTTATGTTAGTTATATTACCAATCAGCTTTGCTTTTGCTAATCCTAATATAACAAATTTTAAGGAATAATAGACTAGGACTCTCAGTGACTGAGTAAGAGTAGTTGGAAGGATCTAACAAACTGCACTGCTCCCCAGTTCCCGAACACTCCTACCACCAGATCTTTTAAAAACCTTTATTTTCCAATGCTTAAGAACTGTTATAATTTATCCCATTAAAATAGAATCCTAGGGTTCACTGTACCTGAAACTATAAAAAGTACAAAGTCCAAACAAAAAACAACGTTTCTTAGAAAAAGGTCCACTGAAATTATGTACTGTTCAAAATGCCAGTGGGACTGAAAAAAGAAAGTTATCCAGTCAGTAGGCTTTACTGATTAAAGACTTTAACGGAGAGAAACTTGATATTCAGAAACACCAACTCTTACTTTAGCTGTCTCAAATTTAATAGAAAGCAGCACTAATTTTGCTCACCTTTGGGTCATAGTCTGGATCATTTTCCTCATCTCCTTCTTCTTCCCCTTCCTATATTAAAGTTCAAAATGCAGCCATGAAGTATGTACATAGTAGGTAAATTGGCTCATAATGTAGGGAAAATTTAATACAAGTTACTCTACGGGTCAACAGATTTTCATGATTACAGAGTTTGACGATAATACAATTTAATCTGAAAGCTTCTAATATGAAAAATTTCCCAACACAACTTGAGACATCCAGACAGCTTTTATTGAAAATAGTTACTGCAGCCAACGTTGGAAAAGTTTACTGCAGCTTTTGACTTCTTCAAAGAGCTGATAACCCTGCAGCAGAACAAAATTATTTGAAATAAAAAAATGTTGCTGAGTTTTGCAATTTATTTATTGAAACCTTATACATACATTGTTTGGCTGTAGAATTCTAAAATCATGTTTTCCAAAATGTTTTTATCCCAAATCACAGAATGATTATAGCAAAGGAATACATAAGTCATTCAATTTGCTTCTCAATGTGTTAACCACAGAGAATTATTTGCTCATTTGGTAAACATTACCTCATCCGCTTCTTCACCTTCTTCATCATACTGAAAAGGAAAAACAGCGTAAGTGTTGAGTGAATGTAACACACATTTCAGAGTAGCATTAGTAACATTCATCACTGTAAAACTAGTGTCTTAAAAGAGAAAACCTACTTTCCTATCAAGAGGCTGATTATAAATTAACACATAGTGGCTGCAATAATCACTCAGCTCACTGCCAATTTATAATAAAGAACAGAGTACAATCATGTGGATAAAATGGGTGATCAGACAAGTATTACTGTAAATATTACTCACCCACACTTAAGTGTGGAATGCACTGTACGAAAAGGACCTAAAGCCTACTCTAACAATGGCCGTTTAGGAATAAACATATCCAAAACATCTATATGCAGCCTAATCTTAACCTAATCATCACTCAATACTACCTTGAATAGAAATTCTATGCCTCCCAGTAAATGTTTTCTTGTGCACTAAGAAAAGTCCTAATTCTGTGAAGTCAAGGCAAGGGCATAACATCTATAGCACTAACCAAACATAAAAAAGTTTCACAAACTCAGAACAATCTTATTAGCAGAGAATCAAAAGCTAAATGAATCCAAAAATCCTAAGGAGACATACTTAAAACCCAGAAAAGCTATATCCAGAACATCAGTAATTAGCCTAATTTTGAATTATATTATGTCCTGTCTCTTAAAAACTAAACTCATCTATTACCAATTCTGACCACTATACCCTCACCCAATTATTTCTTTGCAGGATTCAAATTCACTTACATCATCATCATCATCTTCAATAGCTTCTCCAGTAAAATATAACACTGATCTCGGGATTATACGCTCACGTAAAAAGTGACCAATTTCGAAGTCTGCAGCAAGGATAGCTTCAGCATCATCATCCTATTTTTAAAGGAAAACAAAAGCAGAAAATTTAGGAATAACTATGTTACTTAACGTGGCAATGTAAGACTCTTAGAGGCTGGGTGTTATGGCTCACACCGGTAGTCCCAACACTTCAGGAGGCCAAAGTAGGAGGATCACTTGAGCCCAGAAGTTCAAGAGCAGCCTAGGCAACACAGTGAGACCCCCACGTCTCTACAAAAAATAAACAATTAGCTGGGCAGGGTGGCACATGCCTGTAGTCTCAGCTACTTGAGAGGCTGAGGTGGGAGGATTGCTGGAGCCCAGCAGCTTGAGGCCGAAATGAGCTGTGATCGCAACACTGCACTCTAGCCTGGGCAACCGAAAAAAAGACAAAAAACAAAAACAAAACAAAACAAAACAAAAGCCTCTTCAGTTTAAATTACATGATGAAGGGAAGAAATGCTCAACTTTACTCTTTACTTTCCATGATTTTTCTCACACCATGTTAACAAACAATTTGTCATTTTTAAATTTCCTTAATAACTTTTCCAAGTTTTTAACAAAAGGAAAATAAGCTAGCAGGCCAGTATGCATACTAAGAAATTGTGAAGAATAAAAATTAGAACTGTTTACTTAGTTTTTGCTGGTTTAAACAGAAATACACAAAAGCAATTGTTACATATGTCTGCAATTTTCCTTTGCCCCTAGCACTTTGCTTTTTTAAAGACAGGGTCTCGCTATGTTGCCCAGGCTGGTCTCATGAGATCCTTCCACCTCCGCCACCAGAGCCGCTGGGACTACAGGTGCCTGAAGCTGTACCTGGCTTAGGATTTCTATTCAATGGCAAAGCACAGGGTAAAAGTGGGTCTGGCATTATTTACAATTAAAATAATTCCACTTTGGCAGGGCGTGGTGGCTAGTGCCTGTAATCCTAGCACTTTGGGAGGCCAAGGCAGGCGGATTACCTGAGGTCAGGAGTTCAAGACTAGCCTGGCCAACATAGTGAAACCCCATCTCTACTAAAAATACAAAAAATTAGCAGGTTCAGTGGTGCGCGCCTGTAATCCCAGCTACTCGGGAGGCTGAGACAGGAGAACTGCCTGAACCTAGGAGACAGAGGTTCCGGTGAGTGGAGATTACGCCACTGCACTCCAGCCTGGACGACAGAGCCATATTCCATCTCAATAATAATAATAATAAAAAATCTCACTTTAAGTTCTATGATACTAAACAATGAGCACGCCCTCTGTGAATTCCATGAATGTTTGAGTCAACAACATAATCTAATAAATAAAAAAGTCCAAAAAGGGGGTGGGGAGGAATTCAAACCACAGGTGGAGGTTTTCTATCCTTAACTAGACTGTTTTGTCATCATCAATATTTAGTAACAAAAAAAAAAAAAATAGAACTTGAATACAAACTCCAACACATCCACTGATACGAAAATAGTGTGATGCTCTATCTTACTAAAGTAGTTTTTCTCACCTGAAACTCAACACTGCTTTATGTTCTCTTTTTTTGTCCTATAAGCCAAGCCAGAAATACTTACTTTTGCCTTTTACAGATTTGTTCTAAGCCTTAGCCAAGAGTATTCCAATTCAAAAGTATTCAGTTAAGGTTAATTTCTAATTCCATATATGGACAAACTATTTAAACTATCTCAGTTAATTTAAATTCAAAAACATGCCCAAAAGAAAACCAAATTCAAAACATACCTGCCATACCTTGCGTGTATAGACTTTCTTTAAGGTTGTTCCTCAGTTCAGGCTATATGGCAAGAACATTTCATGGTTCTCTGCCATATGCCATATATATGAACATACATAGTCACGATATGAAATCATATTTACATTGGGGTAACAAATTCAGGAATGCATTCTAACCATAATGTAGTTAGGAATATAACAGTATAAATGACTTAATACATTCTGGTTTTACTAAGGAAGACAATAGTTTTGAAAAGTTAAATCTCAGCGGGGCGCGGTGACTCAAGCCTGTAGTCCCAGCACTTTGGGAGGCCGAGATGGG